GGGGGGGGGGGGGGGAGTCTACAACAGCCTGTGCTGGGAGGGAACCCCCTTGCCCCCAGGCTCCGGCCGCTGCCGCCTGTCCCAGGTCTCCCTTTGGGCTGGGGGGGGTCCTGTTCCCACTCCCCCACCCTGGGAAGTGTTTAAAGCTTCAGCTTGGCTTCGGGGTGGGATGCTGCCGGGGTGCTATTGCTATAGTGGGGTGCAGCATTTGGGGCGACAGCCGGGGTTACATCAGGCACCATTGCGAGAAATGGCACGTGGTCCAGCCGGGGTGGGGGCTCAGGCTGGGTTGGGCTCAGCACCGTCCTGACAGTACCTTTGGGGTCGTGGTTAAACCCAGTGGGGACAGGAGGGGTAGGGGACCCCCGGCCGTGCCCCTTCCCAAACCGTCCTGCGGCCAAATCGTACCTGCGTGCCACGGGGCAGCGAGGAGGAGGAGGAGGAGGAGGAGGAGGAGGGGGAAGTTCTGCAGGACAGGGGCCACCGAGCTCGCCCCCTCCCTATGCCAGAGCCAAGCAGGTGGTGAGGGAGCTTCGTACCTAATCCCAAGGGTCCACGGTGGTGCACCCCCATCCCAGCACTGTGCCTCCACACTCACATTGTAAGTCCCAAAGCCACCGTGCTCATCTGCAGCCTCGATCCTTGCTCTGAGCAGAATCGAGGTCCCCGCTGACCCCATTGCCCATCTGGGGACCAAAACCCCTCTCCAGGGTGAGCCCAGCCCTGCTCTCCAATACACCTGTATATACATTCACAGAGGGCTCCCATCCCATGGCTGTGGCTGTGCGTATGGGGGCTCTGCTGAGCTCGCTGTACCGGGATGGACGGACAGATGGACGGAAGGGAGCCAACCCTGAGCGTGGGGTGTCCCCAGAGTCAAGGCACAGGGAATGGCAACAGGCTGGGATGGGGCGTTTTAGGGAGAAAACAGAAGCCAGGCACAGCACCTCTGTGTGCACACAGATGTATATGCACACAGAGCATCTCCCACGTGCCATACGACGGGCGGTGCTGGTGGGGCCATGCCCCCATTAGGAGGGCTCCAGGGTCCCCCCAGCTAAGACAGGGAGGAGTCTGGGGGGTCCAGCAGAGGAGGACACCCCGGACTCCTTTGGGAAGGTACCGCAAAGACAACCAATATCCCAGTGGGGAGTGGAAGCTCGAAGAGACCCAGCACAAGCAGGAGTGGGGCGAGGGGGTCACGATGTGCCCCTGAATATCAGGGGACGGTCACCAAGACCCCATCACCAACCACCCTCCGCCCACCCTAAACGTGCGTCTGCATCCGCTGCTGGAAGCGCTGCCCGTAGTCCGAGTGCTGGGAGGTGTAGGAGAAGCGGGTGGCACTGGCGTACTTGCCCATAGGGTCGTAGGCATCATAAGGTGCCCGCTCCAGGCTGGTGGGCTGCCCGTAGCCCAGCCGGTACCCGCCGTAGCCACCGCCGGCTGGGAAGGCAGCGTGCCCCCCGTAGTTCTCATAGGAGAGCTGGCTGGCTGTCTCACCACCTGCTGTGCCTGGAGGGGCCCCGCTGCCTGCTGCTGCCTCTGCGCTGTACTCGGATGCAGGGCCACGGCTGTAGGTGTTGAGCTGTGCGTAGCCACTGGAGTGGGACAGGCGGGAGGGCGGGCGGGCGTCGTAACGGGCCGGTCCTGGAGCGCGGTAATCAGCATAGAGCACAGTGCGCGAGGCCGGGCGGTCCTCGTGGGCACGGACGTTGTAGTAGCCATTGGTTGGGTCCTGTAGGGGAGGGAGGGTGGGTGATGTGCGCAGCTGGGCTGGGCAGGGTGAGGAGCTGGGCCCTGCCCTCCTCCGAGCATCCTGCACACAGCCAGCACAAGACAGAGCTTTCCTCTTCCTCATCCCATCCGTGTTTTCATCCCCTTCCTTGTCCTTGTCTCCGTCCCCAAGACATCTCTGTCCTTGCCCTCATCTCCATCCCATCCCCATCCCATCCCATCCCATCCCATCCCATCCCATCCCATCCCATCCCATCCCATCCCATCCCATCCCATCACCGTCCCATCCCATCCCCGTCCCATCCCATCCCATCCCCATCCCCATCCCCATCCCATCCCATCCCATCTCCATCCCTTGCTCCCACACCAGGCCCCAACCTTCAGCTCGTACTCCTCGCGGGTGTCGATGGTGTCACAGCGCAGGTCCTGCTTCAAGTCCACGTCATCCTTGAACGACTGCAGGAGAAACAGGGAGAGATGGGCTGTTTCCTCCCCGGTGCCGCCAGCAGTGCTCTCAGCACTACGGCCCTGGTGTGAGCCATCCCTTACCGAGTAGATGGCCTTCATGACACGGGTGGCAGTGGAGACGCTGGCTGTATCCTCCTCCCTGTCAGCATGCAGTGTCAGTGGTTCCCTGTTCACCGTCTCCACCTTGATGTCCAGCTTGCGCAGGGTGACATCCTTCCGACCTAGGGACAGCAGTGGGCTCAGCACGGACACCATCCCTGTCCCCACCTGCAGCCCCATCCACATCTGCAGCCCCCAACCCCACTCACTTCCTTTCCGACGCCGGTAGAGGAAGCAGGCGAGTGCCACGAGGAAGCTGATGACGAGGATGCTGGCCCCAATGGTGGCCCCGGCGATGATGCCCACAGGCAGGACTTCTGCAGGGGATGAGGAGACGGGTGGTTAGCTGGGGGACAGGGGACGGGAGGTGGGCGCTGGCGATGCTGTGGGGACCTTTTTCCTCCAGCTGGATGATGGCGGTGCCTGGCCCGAAGCTGTTCCAGGCGGTGCAGTTGTAGTGGGTCTGGAAGTCGGCCTCCATCACGTTGTTGATGGTGAGGGTGGACAGCACCCCGCTGCCCATCGTGGTCCTCTCCACCGTGTAGCGCTCCAGCGTCCCTGCCTCCAAAATGTTCTCCTTCCAAGCCCAGGCCTGGCAGGGGAGGCTGCATCAGTGCCACCCCAGGGGACGTCCCCCACGCCCCGTGTGCCCCCACGGTGCCACTCACGATGCGGTCTGGGGGCGGCGTGCTGCCAATGAAGCACTCCACTTTGCCACGGTCTCCACGTGCCGCGTACTGCACCACCTCACTGGAGATGATGGGGGGCCCTGTGGGAGGCACAAGGGGGTCCTGCTGAGACCTAGAGGCACCGAGGAGACACTGGGTGGCACTAGGCTCTGTGCTGCCTGCTCACCGTTGACGTAGAGAGTGACCTCGCGCTCGCCCACGCCGATGCGGGGGACGATGGCTTTGCAGATGTACTGCCCTGCGTCCGCCTGCGTCACCGACTTCAGGTACAGCTGGTTGCTGTTGCTCAGCACCTGGGTGGGAACGCGTGGGGGTCACAGGGGCCAGAAGGGGGGCACGGCCCCTCTTCGAGCCCCCCCTGGCTCGGCCCTACCATGTTGGACTCCTTCTTGGTCCAGGTGAGGGTCAGCGGGGGGTTGCCGGACCACATGCAGGTCAGCGTCACATCGGAGCCAATGTCAGTGACGGTGGGTTTGGGGGCCACCATGATGCGAGGGGCGACTGGGGGGAGACAGAGGGTGAGGGGAGGGTGGGCGACATCCAGGGGGGTGGTCAGAGGGGGCTGCCTCACTCACAGTGCACGTCCACCAGTGTGCTGACGTTGGTGCTGCCGATGTCGTTGTGCACCTCGCAGGAGACGGGCTCGGTGAAGAAGGTGTAGTCCACCTGCGTGTCGTACCTGTTCTCCTTGGCATCCTCAATGATCACCCCCCCCTTGGCCCACCTGAAGGGGGGCAGAATGTGGTCAGGAGCCCCCAGCCTCGCCATCACGCCTGGAGGTCAGGCTGAACCCCTGCAGGTTTGCCCTCACCTGTAGCCTTTGATCTCAGGGTTGGCGGTGGCCATGCAGGTGAACACAACCCGCTCGCCCTCCTGCACCGTCTGCGGCTGGATGGACAGGGTGACAGTCGGGGGATCTGCAGGAAGGTGGGCGCAGCCACCGTGAGAGCTGAAGAGGGCTCAGCGTGGCAGGGGGAGGGAGCAAGGAGAGAATCCCCCAGCCCAACACTGCATGGCACAGTGGGAAGGGAGAGCCCCAAAACTGCCATGCACACAGCAACCCTGCCCAGACAGGTGTCCAGCATCCCTGTCTGATGTGCGTACCCCCCATCCATGCTAGATCTGAGTGTCCAGCATCCCTTCTAGAAGCAGTCACCCAGCATCCCTGATGGATGTAGGCACCCAGCATCCCCAGTCGTAACTGGGTACCCGTTACCTCCCTTAGATTTAGGTACCCAGCCCCCTATAGATGTCAGCAGCCAGCATCCCCAGCACAGTGCTGGCTCGGCTGGGCAGTACCTTCCCGCAGCTGCCACTGGAGGTCGTTGTTCACCATGCAGTGCCTGCCCAGCCCCGCCTGCAGCGCGGTGAGCATCCACCAGCTCGGCACCACGGGGCTGGGGTCCCCATGATACCCCACAACGCCCTGATGGCTCCTTGCTCTGCCCCAGCGCCACCCACGTACCACCCGGCATCATCCCCTCCGTGCCCACGGCGGACTCACGATGCACGTTGAGCTTGACAAAGGTTTCCTTCCCAGCAGGGATGGCATCGTTGGTGCTGCGGCAGGAGAAGACGCGCCCGATGTCCAGGTCGGTGGGGTTGATGGCCAGCAGGCTGGTGGTCGTCTCCCTCTTGCCGTCAGCCAGCACCTCCTGCCAGTGACAAGGGGACAGTCCCCATCAGCTCCGGCTCCGTGCGGGGATGCAATGGGGCCGAGGGGCTGGCAGTACCGTGGTGGTGATGGCTCCGTCCTGCTGCAGCCCATCGCGGTACCAGATGATGGTGGCAGCGGGTTTGGCGCTGCGTGCCCGGCACGTCAGGTTGTAGGGGGTCCCTGCACGCAGCAGGATCTCGGGGGCTCCGTCGATGGTGGGGTCCTCGGGGGGAACTGCAGAAGGGACAGGGGATGAGATGCAGGCGGGGACATCGGAGACCTTCCCATGGGGTGGGGATTGGAAACCTTTATTTATTAGGGAAAAGCGAGGGTGCCAGGAAACGAACTGGGGAGCTTGGGGGGGTGGGTTTGTACTGTGCGTGCAGAGATGGATGCGCTTGAAAGGGCCTGACTGTTTGCAAACAACCACGGGGAGCTGGCTGCAATGATGCAAATATAGGAACTGGGTGTCTGGTGGGGCTGTGTGGCTATAGGATGGGCAGCAATGGGAAGAGGAGTGGCTGTGGTGATGGGGACCCCAGCTAAGACCCCATATCTCAGGCCCCCTATCTGGGTACCCCCACCTGGAACCCTCCAGCCCTGCACCATCTTGGCCTCAATCTGGGGGGAGGGGATACAGGGGAAACCCCTGAGCTCAGGAGGGGTGAAGGTGGGCCCCACTGGGCCACCTTTTGTGCCAGGGGTCCCTGCATGGGGACTGTGGGGTGGGCAGAGTGTGCTGCTCAGTAGCCCAGCTACATCTTCTGCTTGCTTGCCTTTTATCACCCTCCTTTCTAATGGGAATTTAATGCCAGGGGAAGAAAGAGAAAAAAAAATTAAGAAAAGCAAGAAATCCACCCCAAAACCCCATTCATGCAACATTTCCGCTGCGGCTCCGGCATCTTATCTTCTTCTTCTTTTTTTTTTTTTAACAAGACACAAAAGTCAGGGAAATCAAAGTTACTGCACTCCTAGGTCCCGTAACTCAGCCACGGCGTGAATATAGATTAAGGCATTAAAGATAATGGCAGAGCCAGGCTGTGGGAGGGAGGGGAGGGAGCAGCGCGGCGGCGGCGCAGCAGCAGCAGCAGCAGCAGCGTTCCCGCGCCTGCCTGGGGGGTTTGAGGAGGGAGGGGGGTGGGTGGGAGGACCCAGGGGATCAGGGAGGGTTGGGGGGTTTGTTTCTTACTGAGCACGGTGAGTTTGGCCCGGCGTGAGCGCAGCGCAGCCTCGGTTGCCTGGCATTCATAGACGGCGTCGTCGGAGAGCTCGGCGTCGCTGATCTCCAGGTTGTACTGTCCTGAGTCAGCCGTGCCCACGATGCGGTAGCGTGGCCAGGCTGTGGGGACAGCAGGGTTGGCACCGAGGGGACAGGGATCCCCTGCTGCAGGGTGCTGCGTCCTCCGCGCCCTGCTTCCAACCCAAACTCCCCAGGGCTGGGGCTCGATCGGTGCTGTGTGGGGCGTGGGCAGGGCAGTGTGGGTCCAGCACGTGTGGCATATCCAGGGCATGAGGGCTCCTCGGTGTGCAGGGACCCCACTGCATGCAGGATCCCAATCCGACCCCCATCTGTGCAGAATTCCAATGCAAGCAGAACCCCAGCGTGAGCAGGACGCAGGACACCAATATTTTAAGGACCCCAATATATCCAGGACACACAGGGATCCTGGTGCGTGGAGAAAGGAGCAGAGAGCAGCACCCCATCCTGGGAAATATGGCAGCGCAGCTCTGCAGGAGCCCCAGTGCCAAGAGCCTCCTCGTGCAGTGCCATCCCCAGCCCCAAGCTCTCCCCTCCTACCTTTGAGGCCCTGCCCCATGCCCAGCGCCAGCCCATCCTTGGTCCATTGCACGATCCCAGAGTAGTTGAGCACCACGCAGGACAGCACAATCCTCTGCCCGGCCACCACGGTCTGGTCCTCGGGCTCCTCCACAAACCGTGTCTGTGCCGCTGGGGACAGAGAGCGGGGATTGGGGACGGCCTGGGATGTGCCACACGCTGCCCGTCATGATGGTGGCACTGGTGTCCCCATCCTCAGCCCCACAGGCCACGTCCCTGTGGTGTATTGGCCATCACGTGGCCATCGACCGGGGTGTGTGTGCATGTGTGTGTGTGTGTGTCACACTGTGTCACATGCGTGTGGCTCTGTGTCACACACCGGTGGCTGTGTGTCACACGTGTGCAGGGGGTTGGCTTGGGGATCAGGAAACCGCAGTCCCTGCTCTGCTCAGTGGGACAAGGGACATCTCGCCCCCCCGGGGTGGCAGGGGAGCACCTCTCCCCCACACTTGCCTTCTCCCTCGTAAGCCTCCTGCTAAAATATTCAAATGATTTCCGCTGTGGAGTGGGAGAGGGGGAGGCAGAAATCCCTTCTGGGGATGAGCGAGCAGCAGATAACGGAGCTGCTAAGTCCCTGGCCCTGCCTCTGTCTGCACAGCCCCGTCAGACCCGGCACGGCACAGCATGGAACGACACGACGAGGCACAGCATCCCCAAAACCCCAGGATGAGGCACCCCAAAGCCTCAGGATGTGCTGCCCCAGCACCAGGGGAAGGGGTACCCCGGCACGGAGGGGGGACCTGGGGACACTCGGATGTCCCTGTTTGCTGCCCACCCCCACCCTGTGACGGCGTTTTGGGAGAGGAGAGGGAGCAGGGACAGGAGGCAGGAGGGAGATAAAGGGAAGGAGAATGGGAAAGGCGAGGGGGGAGGGCTGGAGCTGGGGGGGATGAGAAGCAGAGCGGAGATCAAAGAGGAAGGTGCCTGGAGAGGTGGGCGCGGGGGAGGATGAGAGTGGGGGAAGGAGGGAGCGGTGCGGGGTGGGGGTGGGGGGCACAGGCAGACAGACAGACAGACAGACAGCAGAG